AGATGCTAGCCTAGATTACCACCGTAAGGACACTTGGGTGAGTCATCACCATGCTCCAGCATCTGGGCTTGGTGCATAGACAAATTACCTGCTGACTCTGCACTCTTCAGAAAGCAAATGGGCTTTTTTTTTTCTTTTTTGAGCACAACTGAGTGCTCAACTGTGCTTTGACTCGCTACTTTCAGGTGGCTTATGCCAGATCCTGTCGACCAGATGCTGAATAGGACAATTTTCCCTGAGGGGATTGGAAAGCCTGTTTCAAGAAGCTTTTATGTTTCCAGAAGGATTGAATTTTCAGCAAAGCATTTCCATAAGTCTCCTGTCCCCTAGCTAGAGCACAGTGTTCAAATAGAAAGTGATATGAGACAAGCACAGCTTTAGGCATCCAGGCTCTGGTGACATCAGGTCTCTGGGCCTGAAGCAAAGCAGCCCATGGGGTCCTTAAACCCGTCTGATGTTTCATGCATGGAGTTTGTACCTTGATTTGTCTTATCTTCTCTGGCTATCCCCGTGAAGACAACCAGAAAGAATTCAGCTTGGCTTGAGTTTAAGTAAGTTTTGGAAGGAGTTGCTGGAAGATTTGGAAAGAAAATGATGTTGTTGCTTGGTTACTTGCTGAGCTGGCCTTGCTGTCACTTGTAGCCATCTCACTAGAAGACATTTGTTAAGTGAAGCCTCAAGAGGCTTCTTGTGTGGTCACTACATGAAAACACACTCTTCCAAATAGCCACTGGCATCAATATTCTGATCGTTCTGAACTTGCTCAAGACTTGAAAAGTTGGTGGAGCTCCACTGACTTAGCTAACAGAAACAGCCACTCCAGTTTTGAAGAGTGGAGGGGGCTTGTCACTGCAGTTTGGTTTTATTCCATCAAAAAGGGCTGATGATAGGGAAGGTGAGGTGGAGGTGCAGAGCTGTGGGAATGTGACTGTGATGTGAGGTACATGGTTATTCCTTGAGGATTTCCCTTCTGCCTCAGTTTCCTCCTTTGAGAAGTGGTCTTCCGTGGCTAGTGGGTTCCAGTTAAATTGAATACCCCCTTCTTTCCTGTGCCAAAGAGCATCTGTAGGGCAGCCCCTCTGCCAGGCTGGGACCTTGCCCACAGTTGCACAAGAGGATGCAGATGTGGTAGGGGAGTTCACCCTGCCCAGGACTCATGGAAATGAATTGGTGCTCCACACACAAAGGTCCCCAACCACCATGGACAATGCAGGAGGACAAGCAGGGCAGTGCTGGGGACCAAGAGAGGGGGCAGAGGGACGGAGACTATGTCAGAGGGGCAAGCCTAAGTATCAGCCAGGCAGAAATGATTCCTTCCTGATCCTGAAGGAATCAGCATCCAAAAAATGTTCCCAATAAGAAAACAGGCTTAGTGGGTTGACTGTCCCCTTCTTTCCAAAAACCTGACCTATTGGTGAAGGGAGAGAGAGATCATAGTGGGACAAGGTGCAAGCTGTTATGGGGGTCAGGATCCATCCTGGGCATACAGCCACTGGCTTCATATTGTCTGGGACTAGTTCTTAGGGAAGAATTAGAGGCAAATGGGGCCCTTTATCTTTATCTGAGGTTCTGGCACACTTCTGATTTAATACTTGGTGAACAGGGTGACAGGACAGTCTCAGAACTGTTTTTCAACCCACGATGGAGGTACCCAGAGGATTTGTAAGTGTAAAAGCAAAGAGAGATGGAGCAAGTGAGCAGGTCTGGAGCCAGGATCACCACATTGGTTAAGGGCTCCCAAGGGCAGGAGCACATTGCTGTACCCACTGCAGTGGGGAGTGCCCTCAGGAGGAACAAGTCTATTTGCCGGTGGAGCCGAACGGACATAAAATCTCCCTCAGTTATATGGGTGTTTTTTTCTGTATAAACTTGCTAATTGAGTTGTAAAATAAAACTGCAGTCCTTCCTCTCCAATTTCTGCTGCTGCAGCAGCGTGCTAATTTGGTTTTGGAAGGGGGCTGGTAGAAGGTGGCTCTTTGCCAGTGTGAAATTATGCGCAAAGGTTTGCAGTGGGAGAGAAGGGAGCCTGTCCTCGGTGCAGGGAAGGACTGGGGGCAGGAGCTGCTGAGCAGGGCTGGAGCGGCTTGGGAAGGTCCTGCAGCTGGGCTGGGCTGGGCTGATGGAAATTCAAGAAAGCCCAGAAGGGTTTAAGTGAAGTTGCAATGGAGAACAGATGGGAAAGTTAGTGCCTGTGCACCTCAGTAGATGCTGTGTGGTTGAGAGGATGAGCTGTGGGATTTCACATCTACCCTCCAGCATAGCTGGGCAGGATTTGCCTCTTGGGTCTGTGTACCCATGTGTGTGTGGTGTGTGTCTGTGTGCATGTGTGCCTTTGGTGTGGGCATGTGTGCCTGGTGTGGGCAGACATGTGTGTCCACGTCGCTCGGGGTGGTGTGGGTATGTGTGTGCCTGTGTTGGGTCTCCATACAGATGGTGAGGACAGGAATCTGGCTCTCATCACCCAGTAGCACAAGACTCTGTAACGGGGACAACTGTGCACAGGAACAAGGATGGTGTGGTGCAAATTGATGCAGAGGAACCCACTGCTCAGCTCTGCTGACTTGCACCAGGCAGGGATTTGGCCCTGCTGCCCGCACTGGGTGCTGAGAAGAGGACTGGTCTGTAGGAAAAAAAAACTGTGAGGAAAAAAAACCCTGAAGGCACAGCCTGGCTGTCTGTTGCATCAATGTAACTTTAATTTTTGAAAGACACATAGAAAAAATGCAGTGACAGTTCCAGTCCCAGGGTGAAGCCCTGGGGTTCCATATGTTTGGCAGGTACATGCACCCCAACATGCAGGAGGATGTAACGTCTCAGGAGACCCAGGGCATGGACCACATTCACCATTTCTGTATCTTTCAGTGTTTCACATAAAACTGACTGTGTGAAAACAATTCCAGGCAGGAGGCTCCAGAAACCATTGCAAGAAGCCCAGAGGTTTATGGATAGATTTGTCTGCCCATTTTCTAGAATTCAACAGTCCTTCCTGTCTCATCATCCTTCCATCCTTCTGCTCATCCTTTTGATCCCTTCTCTGGGCAGCACTGGGAAGGGATTGCTGCTATACCCTTCAGTGGGAGCATCAGGAGCACAGTTTGTGACCCTGGAGCTGCTGGTTGAGGTGAGATTGAGTGGGGCAGGGCTAGACAGTGTTTTTCAGCCTTTCCATCTTTGGGAAGAACTGCCCTCAACATTCAGCCCTGCTGCCGCCTGCTCTCGTTCTGTGAGGGCACCTGAGTGGGATCTCAGCACCCTGGCCAGGGGGGAGTGAGGCCTCAGGGGCTGGAAGGTCTTGTCAGATGCTTTTAAAAGTGACCTTTAGTGTCTGAAGAGCATCAAGCTGGATTTAATAAGGGACTGACAAAAGAATAACAATTACTAAAGCCTTCCTCTGCCTTCCCTTCCTCTGCATCCTGCCCCAGCTGGGTTAGGGTTCCTGGTGGTCACTAACTGCTGAGTGCGTGGCAGCGTGCAAGGCCCTGTGGTCTGTGCAGAGTGTGCAAATGCTGTGCAAGCCACACAAACTCCATGTAAAGGCTGTGCAGGCCCTGTGCAAATGCTGTGCAAAGGCTGGACAAACTGTGCAAAGTGTGCAAATGGCTTTGGGCCTGGCCATCCGGCACTGCGAGAGACAGGGATTTCTCGGGATGCGGATTTCTTGGGGTGGTGTCATGGGAGCTGTGTCTGTATCTCTGCACAGTGTGTGTGTTCATACCGAGCAAATCCGCTGGTTGGCATTAGAAACCCGCTCGTGATACTGTGACAGAGCACCTGTAAAATTACAGCAGAAAGAAATCTGAGAGGCTGCAGTGACAAATGCTCGTGAGAAGCAATTGTTTGGGGGGGGAAAGGGAAAAAAAAAAAGCCGTGTTTGTTTTGGCAAAACACCTACATTCCTTCAAATAAATCATCGCAGCCCTTGTTTTTGTATTTGCGGAGAAATCGCAACAGACATAACCAGGGACTTAAGAGACTTGAAATAACATCCTAGTAAATACCCCACTTTGTTATTTTAATCGAGACCCAAGGAAACATCTGAATTTTACCAAGGAAACCCTCCGCGCGAGGGAAAACATCAGCCCGCAGCCCGGCTGGGGCTTTGTTTTGCTCCGGTGTCGGGCTCCCGAGGCGGAATTGCCGGGGCCGATGGAGGTGCGGGGCAGCCCAGGACAGTCGCTCCGGCTCCCCCGACGCTCCTGGTCTGGCCCCGCCGTCAGCATCACCCCCGCAGGCCAGTCTGGGGGTGGGAAGTCCGCCCGAAATGTGGGGTGACGGTTCCTCAGTCCGAAACAAAGCTGGGATCTGCCCCATGTCCAGTGTGGGACCGGGACCCCCGCCCCAGTACAGAGTGGCGGGTGACCCCCTCCAATACAGGGTCGCCTTCCAAAGTACGAGTCGGACACAACTCCCATCCGCATCCCCCCTAATTAGGTTGGGGTGACGCCGCGGCACGGGGCTGTGGGACGCAGCTCTCCCCGACAAATGAGGGGTGCGGGTGCCCCCATCGGGGGCGCAGGTGCCTCCCACCAAACGGGGCCGGAGCCTGCGGGGGTCTCACCTGCCTGGGAAGGCGGGGAGGGGGCCGGGGAGGTGGGGTGGGGTCTCACCTGCAGGCGGAGGCGGAGCGTCGACGGGGTTTCTCTCACCTGCCGGGGGAGGCAGAGCGGTGTCCGAGGGGACGGTCCGGGGGTTCCCACCTGCAGGCAGTGGCGGGGCGGGGTCGAGAGGGATCCGAGGGTGTCCCACCAGCCGGGGAAGGCGGGGCGGCATCCCTGAGGGGGTCCGGGGGGGTCCCACCTGCCGGGGGAGGCGGGGCGGGTCCCGGGGCGCGGGCGGTGCTCGGGCGGGGAGGGGCGAGCGGCCGGCAGGGGGAGCCCCGGCGGCGGCGGGCGAACGAGGAGCGGCGGCGGCGGCGGCGACGGCGGCGGCGAAGACGATGTTCAAAAGCGGGCGGGGAGCGGCGGCGGCAGCAGCTCCGCGCCGAGCCCCGGGCCGCCGCCATGCGCCTCCGCGCCGCCGCCGCCGCCCTCTGCCTCTGCCTGCTGGGCGCCTGCCGCCTCCGTCGCGGGCTGGAGGCCGCCGCCGTGCGCGGCCCGTCGGCGGCCGCTCCCCAGCGACCCTCGGCAGCCGCGCCTTCCTCCGCCTCCTCCTCCTCCGCCGCCGCCTCCCCCTTCTCCTCCCCACCGCGGAGGGACGGGGCTCTCCGCAACGGCACGGTGGTGCCGCACCACTACATGGTGGCCCTGTACCAGCGCCTGGCCGCCCGCCGCGGCCCCGGCGGCCGCGCCGACACCGTCACGGGCTTCGCGGAGCGGGCGCGCAGCGGTGAGTGCGGGGAGCGCGTCCCCCCGGGACCCCGCCGTCGGGGATGCTTGGGTTTGGGAACAGGCTTTAGGATGAGGATGGGGCTTGGGAATGGAGACGGGGCTGTGCGTGGGCGCGAGGATCGGGCTCCTGCGTGGGAGCAGGGATGGACGCGGGGTTGCGCATCACTTTGAGCGTGAGTTTGGGGACGTGGTGGCAACGCGGAGAGGGAGCTCGCGCGTTGGTCCAAACGCGAGGCTGTGCCTGGGATGGAGTTGTGCGTTGGTTGGGGAACGAGGTTGTGCGTTGGTTTGAGCACGGGGTGGTTGCAGGGGCTGGGGGTAGCTCACGGGATAGAGCTTCACAGGATAGGGGCTGCGCATCCCGGTTGTTTTAACGGGAATGGAGCCGTGCGCGAGACCGAACGTGGGAATAGGGACGAGGACGGTGCTGGGAGTGGGGTTGTGGGTGAGCATAGGGCTGGGGCTACGATAGTGACAGCAAAGGGTTTGTGTCTGGAGCTGGAAAAAGGGATTGCCGATGGAGATGAGCGTGAGGTAGGGGGTGGCGATGGGGTTGCGCGGTCAAGGATGACGCTCGGGGCTGGGGGTGAGGTTGGGGACGGGGTGCGAGGTGCAGCCAGCCGGGCCGGGGCGCGCGGGGCTGCCGGCGGCTCTCGGAACCTCTCGCCACCTGATGTGGGGCCGGCGACTGCGGCGCAGTTTTGAGGCAGCTTCTCTGCGCGGCATCCCCGGGACCGGGAGCAAGAAGGCCCGACAGAGCCTTTGCAGCCCGAAAAGCTCCGCAGGGCCCCGCGACGGGCCGGGCGAGGCTGGGGAGGGAGCGCAGCCGCGGTGCTCCGGGGAGCACTCCAGAGCGGCTCCCGCCGACCCGCCGGCTGAGCTCGGCATCGCGCTCCCCTTCTCCCTCTTCCTCCTCTTTTGCCCTCTTCATATCCGCGGATCTAATGATGATAACACATAAACGCATTTAAGGATATATTTTTAACGCGTACATCGCGCACTGCCGCCAAAGTTCACTCGGCTGGGGGAAAAAAAAATAATAAATTCCCGATCGAATAAAATTAAAAGACAAACTGAAAAGCAGCCCCAGCCCCAGCCTCCCCGCGGTGCCTGTCGCCGGCTGCCCCGAGGTGGGAGTGCGACGGCTGGTGGTGTGGAGCCCCTCAAGCCCCATCCTCTCACACCCAGAACGGGCCGTATCCTGCTGGCAGCCTTTGGGGGGAAGGGGTGCTAAAAGCTGATGGGGCAAGGTCAGGGGAGCGAGGTGGGACGCGGGGAAGATGATCCGGTGGGAGGGTGGGCAGTGCCCGGCTTGGGAGAGCGGGGGGAAAACTGCGGATAGGTCCTGGGAAGTTTCAGAGCAAAACGAAACCAGATGAACTCTTCAAAGGGATCTCCTTATCTGCTCTTATCTGCTCCTCATAGGAACGTTAGATCTGCTTTTAAAATAATAATTATAATAATGACTATAATGAATAATAATAATAAGGATAATAATAATAATAATAGTAGCAGCAACAGCAGATGACAGGGAGAAGATTGTTTCCCTCCTGGCGGGCGGTGCAGACTGCACCCAGCGGCGCTGCCGGCGCGGGGCGGGGGCTGCGGTGTGGGGATGTCGGGCAGGGCTCTGCCGGCAGCGGGTCAAGAGGCTCGGGCACAGCAGCGATGTTTGCAGCATGCTTAGGTCAGGTTTCTCGTTGACGAGGGAGAAAATAAAAAACAACCCTCGCAGAACTCATTTATGTCTTCTCCCCAGTGTCACCTCCTTTGGTTTTTTTTTTAATTCACATTGAGTATAGTTAATCAGTGTCAGAAACTGCACGAGTCTGTGTTTGAGCTTTGGATCCACCAAAAATAGTGACAAAGTGAAGCTGGGCTCGCTTTCAGCCTCTAGTGGTGCCTCTATCAGACGTGTGTCTGCGAGGGGAAAATGGAATTTTTCACAGCTTTTTACTTGGAATGGATGGGGCTGCGTGTGTGTGTGTGTGTGACACTTAGGGCAGAAGAAATCGGTGACCACCTCCTGACTGGGGATAGGACTGTGACACACAGGTTCACATGAGGCTTCCATGCCAAAACAGAATAGTGATGCAACTGGGGTCAGTGGAACACCTACGAGGAGGCAGAGAAGCCTCCTTGGGACATGGGGAAGAGTGCTGACGAGAAGCCACTTGATTCAATTGATGCGTCTCTCCCTCTGTACTTTCTCCTTGTTAGTTTTTGATGCCTCCAGCCAGAGTGACACTCCTGGATGCAGGACACACAGGCTGTGCCCTGCTGGGAGGCTCGGCGAGCCTTGCTGCACGGCAAGATCTTCCCTGTTAGTTCTGTGTCTCTTGCACCTCCGTAATGAGAGTTTGGCTTCAGCTTGCTGGGATTTTAATTTTTTTTTTCCTTTTTTTTCCCCTTCTGTGTTATCTCTTCCAGATGCCTCCCTGTCCGCCTCCGAGCAGCGATACCTCTTCGACATCTCCAGCCTGCCTGAGGCAGAGGAGGTGACGGGTGCAGAGCTGCGGATCCTGCGTGCCCTCCCTGAAAACCAGAGCTTGGCCCTGTCCCCCGAAGGCACCTTCCACCACCTCCTCCTTTCCACCTGCCCAAGCCAGGATGGTCAGGAGCCCCGACTGCTGGACTCCAGGGCTGCAGACATTTTGGACGCAGGCTCCTCCAGATGGGAGGTTTTTGATGTCTGGGAAGCCTTGCGAGATCGGAGGGAGAGATCTCTCTCGGGCAAGCTGCTGTGCTTCCTGCTGAGGATCGTCTCGGATCAGTCGGGGCAGCTCCTGCCCCCCCGACAACTGGGGTTCAGCAAGCCCCAGCCCCAGCCCCACGAGCGAGCCCTGCTCGTGGCCTTCTCCCGCACCCAGAGGCAGGAGAATCTCTTCAAGGAGATCCGGGATAAGATCAAGGCCCTGGGCAGCCCCCCATTCCTGGAGCCCCCTGATCCTGGCCAGGAGGTGTATCCCAAGCGGAGGAAGAGAAGGACCACAATTGCTGCCCGGTCTGGGGGCAGGGGCCACGGGAAGAAGGCGAAGACCCGCTGCAGCAGGAAGCCCCTGCACGTGAACTTCAAGGAGCTGGGCTGGGATGACTGGATAATCGCCCCCCTGGATTATGAGGCATATCACTGTGAGGGGGTCTGCGACTTCCCCCTGCGCTCCCACCTGGAGCCCACCAACCATGCCATTATTCAGACCCTGATGAACTCCATGGACCCAGAATCCACCCCCCCAAGCTGCTGTGTGCCCTCCAAGCTCAGCCCCATCAGCATCCTCTACATAGACTCTGGGAACAATGTGGTTTACAAACAGTACGAGGACATGGTCGTGGAGACATGTGGCTGCAGGTAGCAATTTCTGCAGCTCTCCTCCTCCCCACCCCTCCCTGCCCTGCCCAGCAGCCCTGCCCCATTTTATATATATAAATATAGATATATATATATATATAAAAAAAAATATATATATACATACACATTTTGGTGTGTGCCTTTCCAAAAGCCAAGCTCAGAGCAGGTGTCCCTTGCCTTCCCTGGGCCACCCTGGCCCAGGGCTGTGAGGCTCACACCCCCTGAGGCTGTGAGGCTGATGCCATCTCTGTGCCTTGCCTGCTTCCCATGGGAAGGGGGGGTACACAGACTGGCAGAGCCCCCAGGAAATGCCTGTTCTGCCTATGAGCTCTGCCTGCTGGGCTTGGTTTTCCCAGGTGGAGCTGACACTTTCTTTCCCAAAGGTTTTGGAAAATGTCTGGCCAAAATTGTCTTGGTGGGAATGATGACCTGGGGTTGGGGGCAGACGGAGTGGTGGCTGCGGGAGAGGAGTCTTGTCAGCATCACCTTCTGGCTGGGGCAGTGGGATGGAGGTGAGGTGGGAATGCTCATTTATTTGAGTTAAAAGAGGTTTTCTGTCTGCCTTCAAATCACCATCCCAGGTTTTATGGTGGAAAAACGAGGGATCCCTGGGGGAAGGCAGGGGATGGAGAACCCGTGGCTGCTGGGTGTTGAAATCGTTTGGTCCAGGCCTGCTTGTAGTGGGGAGAGATTTGTGAGTCTGCTGGTGGGGGCAGAAAAGAAGGTCCTTGTAACTGGAGGCTAAAGCAAGAGTCAGGTCTGAAGTAGAGCTCGTGCTGTCGAAAAGATGGGAATGGTCGTGGGAGGTGTTAGCTGGGGATGCCCTTGCTCCATGTAGTCCTAAGTGCTGGCCCTGTTGTTAATATCCTGCAGGAGGTATTGGCTGGTGGGTCCCCTCCCTTTCGTGCACAAAACCTCATTCCCAAGGCATAGTGGGAACTCGGCATCAGGCCCACAAGTCACACAGCCGTCCTCAGCATGTCTGGAGAGAAACAAAGGTCCTGAGTTCCCCAGGGAAGAGCCATTTCGCTCGGGTTCTTCTTTTTCCAAATAATCTCTATAAAAGCACTTAGCTCCACCCTATCGTCCTTTGGCATCGATTTCCCAGTGAGCTCCATCCCTCCTTGGAGCACCGGCCTGTCCCTACTCCATTAAGGGAGCCCAGATCTGCCAGGAACAGACCTTTCCTATGCTGTGGGCTGAATGTCACCCTTAGAGACTGCTACATAAAATGGGGTGCTTTGACCCATGCTGAAAGGGCTGCAGGATTTTAGGAACTCAGGAGCTGAGTATAAATTATGCCTTTAAATCAGAGAAACCTCGTATCCATGACAGGGTGTGTTTTGGATGCTGGGAAGTGTTTCTGCTGCACCTCGGTGGCTTTTAGTACCACACTCCAGCTTCATGGCTTAGTTGGCACCATCCACAGATGTATTTGCACAGACTTTGTGTTTGATGGTTTGTTTTTTTACTGGTGGTCAGAGTGTTGGCGTGTAAACATCAGTGCTTATTAGTGACAGTAGTTTGCTTTTGGAGGAGATAAATCCCTGCTGAAAAACGTGGCGTTTTCCCTATATAAAATGAGTTGTCCTCCATGGCAGGGGTGTTCTTCTGGGAAGTCTGGGCCTGGCTGGGGCAGAGAGGGGGTCACCTCAAAGAACTCTACTGAGATCCAAATGATTTCAAGGATCAGAAAAGCCTTGGTGAGGTCCAACAGCCGCTTCCTCACAAGAAAATAGTGCATCAGAAGGGAGTAAATTGTGCACACTGATAATGGTGATAAATCCACTGAACTAACACCCCCCAGCTTCCCTCTATCCTCATCCATAGAGGATTGCTCTGCATCCTCAGGCTGTGGTTGGTGGCAACTCAGGAGAGCAAATGTGGTACCCATAAATCTCGTGTAACCCCCTTGACTCCCATGGAGCTCCTCTGACTTTACATCCATGTAACCAAGAGGAAAAACCATCTCCCTACCTCAGCATAAATATAAATATATATTAATGATGTAACTGTTCCCAGGGGGATGCTCAGAGATGGAGGTTGGTAGGGGAGAGGAAGAATCAGGTCCATGCAGGTGAGTTTTCTCCTTGCTGGTGTCTGGGGAGGCTGAGATGCAACTAGTTGGTGAGGAGGGGTCGTCAGGAGGGCTGGTGGCTTTCCTCTGCCCTTTGGCTTTAGCACAGATGGTTTGGGAAGGAGGTTGGCACAGCAGTGCCTGAGCTGCTTGCTCTGGAAACACCACACCATTTATAAAGTAACCAAGCTTTTGAAGTGCCTAATTTTTCAATTGTTTGATAGTTTTTCTCACTGCTGAGACAATATTTTTTAATGTTTTTGTTTCTTTTACCCCCTCTCCTTTCTGCAAATATTTGCGGTGGAGGTTTGTGGGCAGTTCAAATCCAGGCAAGATATATATAGCTCCTGACAGCCCCCGCTGGCTGGTGGCTCTTGTGAGCCTCAGCCAAAAGGTTGGCCTGAGACCTGCTCCTGTGGGACCAAGTCCAAGGGGGTGTTAATACCAGTGACTCTCGGTTCTTGTGGCTTTTGTTCATCCACAACTGCAGGGAACAGAGAGATGTCACGCACCTCAGGCCTGGAGGTGGCTGACGGGGAGCAGGGTGATGGGTTGGGTCTTGCAGTGCTTCACCCCGACCCCAGTGCTGTGTGCTGTGCACTGTGCTCTGCTGAGGCTCTGTCCTGAATCCCACCGTGGCTTTGCTGGTCCTGGGGGGAAGAGCAGTGGCTCAGTCATTGCAGTTTTGTAGCGTGGATCACTACAGTAAATGAAGAAGATTTGGTGAGAGCGCAGAGGCCGCTGCTGGCAGTGATGCCATCCATGGTTTTGCCCATGTGGGAATCAGTCCTGGCTCTCCTGGCTGCAGGTACCTCTTCCAGAACAGGCGTGTTTGGTGGGACAGCAAACTTCAGCCCCCTGAGGTGAGCCCAGCAGCAGTGGGGCCCTTTGTGCTCTCACCCCTGGTGACACTGCTGTGCCAGCTGCTCTTCTAAAGGAGCACCTGTTCCCTTCCTGGGCAGACAACCTCTGGAGGACAGCAGGAGGGAAAAGGATGGAGTCAGACCCTCTTTCTGTTTGCCTCAGGAGATGGAAGGCAGCCAGGGGCTGCTCCAAGGGGATGTGTGGGGCAAGGCTGAAGGGGAGCGGGGCTGGGGCTCTTGGTAGGTAACTGTGTTGCTCCCCCTGGGAAAGTGCATCAGCCTCACTGCTCAGCTGTTGCATTGCTTATTGCTCCCAGAGGAGTGTTTCCAGAGCAAAAGCACCACTTCTCCCTTTATGGATCCCTGCATGCCAACTGCAAGGGCTGCCTGTCCATCCCCATGTAGATTTGGAGATTGCACCCAAACGCTGGAATGAGGCTTGGGCAACAACCATCGGAGCCATTGCAAATGTTTAGAGGTTTAGATTAGATATTAGGAAAAAAAATTCATGGAAAGGGTTGTAAAGCATTGGAACAGACTGCCCAGGGAGGTAGTAGAGTTGCCATCCCTTGAAGTGTTCAAAAAATGTGTGGATAAGGCACTTGAGGAGACAGTTTCATGGTGAACATGGTGGTGGTGCTGGGCTGACAGTAGGACTTGATGGTCTTTTCCAGCCTTAATGATTCTATGACTCTCAATGGAAGTGGTGGGTGTGAAAGCCTTTTCCAGGCAGGGAGGTTCCCTCACCTGAGTTGTTGCAGCCCTGCCATGTTGGGGAGCAACACAGGGACATGTCAGCAAAGGGCATGAAGCAGTAAATCCTGCCTGTGGAGGCAGGTAAGTGGGGCACTGGCTGCAGAATGGCGGCAGCCCAGTCCAGCCCTCATCTCTGAAGCTGGTCCTCGGCTGAGCATCACCCTCTAATGCCATAGAAATAGTCCAGGAAAAATGTATTTCTGATCAGTTGCCTCTTGCCTGAGCTGATTTTTGGCCACATGTAAACTTTATAAATATGAGACTAGAGGTTGAACATGGACAAATATGAATTCAGTAGGCTCAGAGTGATTTTAATGGATAATTATAGGTTCTTATTCTGCAGTATTTATACAACCTTTCCAGTTAAAAAAAAAACACAACAGTTTCCATGCAGTGTATATTCTCCTGGAGGATTTGTTTGACCTTGGGCACCATTTTTATCCGCAGGATATAATTACAGTGAAACTAGAAATATTAAGCATTTGAAAAAGACTATGTATCTATGCTTAACTGACTCCTTCCCCTCAGACACTGGAATGTAATCGTGCAGGAGCAGGGAAACATGGACCAATCCCATTTAACTTGGAAGCACTGGGACTGTGATTCAGGGAAGCACACCTGCTTGGGACAGGACTGGTGTGTGTGCCTTGAGCTCTGTAAAACCAAAGCCTGTGCTTAAGCCATTGCCTGCACTACGTCCTGAAGCCCCCTGTCCAGTGGAGCTCCACAGCAGGAATAGTCAAAAGCAAAATGGCTTTATGCCTAGTTTAACTGCCTAGTGACCAGGGGTGCTTCTGGCCTAGAAATAATTCCCCATAATCACAGATTTCATCCTTTATTCTTTTAAGGAATAATTAATTTTTAATTCTCTTAAAATAGGGGTTTTGTCTAACCACACACCCCATTTTTTTTTAACGTATTTCAAATCCAATGATAGAAGGGAAATAACTATCCTCTGGAAGAGAGAAGGGTGTTCATATGGAAAAGGGCTTGATTCAGGCTTGTAGCATCTTCTCCCTGGCATAGTTGTGTTGATTCTGGTCAGCACTGGCAGACAGAACCACGTTTTCTTTGCCTGTTGGCTGATGCTTGGCATACTCATAAGGAAAAGACTGCAAAGGTATTGAAAGTGAAGCCCAGGCCTTGAGCCCTCTGCTCAAGTTCGAGTGCCAGTGACTCCTGGGTGTTTTTGCACTGTGTGGGTTTTAACTCAGGTTGTGGTTACACAGCTGTCACTGGGTGATGCTGCATTGATTTATCGGTCACACTCCTGTCGCAAAACAAGCAGCTCCTTTTACAGTTTTAAGCCTTATGCCACAAACCCAAAAGTGGTATTTAGGGACAGTCACCTGTGCTGGCCCCCACGTAACAGCAGGCACAAGCTCTGCTGTTGGCAGCACTGCCTCTCCAGGGAGAGACAGAGAGGCTGAGGCATCACTTAGGACCCCTGGGGGATCTGGGTCCCAGAGGGCCACAGCAGGGCAAATGGAGCAGAGCACCTTGGAGTGTTGATGGGGTGCCACAGCTTTGGTCTCCAGACTTAACAGGAGTTTTGCCGTGAGCCTCGACTTTTTGTGCTTGTCTTGATAGCAGCATTTGCAGTTACATCAAAACCCCCATGACCTATGTTAATGTGACAGATACGTCATAAATACCAGTCCAGCTCATACTCTTATTGGAACAAACCTGGTGGGAAATGTCAAAGTTTCCTGCCAAGCATGTAGTGAGCTCTGAAATCCAAGTGCCTTCTCTTTTGTCTGTGGTAGAGCAGCAGGGCCATGTGCCAGGGAGAAAAAAAACTAAGTGGGGCAACAGCAATGAGAGTCTGGGTATTTCAGAGAGGTTGTCACCTGAAATGGGGCGGTACCACTGGGTTTGAAAGATGGTCAGACAGAAGGGCTGTCACATGAACCTTGGCTGGGTGGTCCCACCACATTGCTTGCTGTGTCCCCTGTCCTGTGTGCAACTAGAGTTATGGTGTGAATTTTTCTCTCTTCACATCACACTCTGGGAGGTGAGTGGGTGGGAAAACCTGTGTGGGCAAAACCAAGCACTGGTCTTTGAGAGCAGTGTGGTTCTTCTTTTAAGTCACCATGACCAGCAGATGGAGAGACTACGTGTGTCTCACTGGAATTAGAGCAGCTCTTCTGGCATCAGGGATCCCTTTATGGCTATGTGGGGCCTGAATGGAGATGCTGGGTGGCAGGAGCAGAGTGTAGCAGTATGCTCACTGTGGGAGTGCATCCTCCCTGAAAACACAACAAGGAGAGGAGTTGGGGGCTAACTGTTCATGGACGAGGTGTTTGTGATGGTCAGGAGCTTGTGACCTCATGTGGTGGTGGGAGAGTTTTATCTTTGAATTAATGAGTGGTAAAAGAGCAAGGTGTTCCACCAGGCTGGTGTGTGTGACACCTTTCAACTTTGTCATAAACTGGTTTATGTCTTTCAAGGTAAAACCAGCTGCATTCAGCTTTTTGAAGCTCTTTATTCCTAGTACAGAGTGTTGTGAGATACATAGAGGTGCAGTGTTCTGGGCCTTTGAAAAATGATCAAAATTTGGAACTCCTGCTGGTGTAACCCACTGACCAAGGAGCCGGAGCCCACCCTACATCTCAAAAGATATTTTACATCCTTGCACCTCAAGACACAAGTAGCCCAGGTGGCTGCTTTTATCTTTTCCTGGCAGCAGTACCCAAACAGCCCCTGAATTTTCCATGTTGGAGAGGAGCCTGATGTCAGTGGTGGTGGAAAGGAGCACATGGGCAGGCCAGCAGATGCACCATGTTTAACTCTGGCTGAATGGACTAGGGTAGGAAACTTGGGCAGCAGAGCATTTTCATGGATCTGGTATTGAAACATCTTAAAGCGAAACTTGATTCATTCCCAGAAATGGCTGAAAACAAAACCTGCCCATTTTCACTGGTTTTTCAGCAGGTTTTGCTCTTCATTTTTCTATCATCACCACTTAATAGTCCATTCGTACATTTTGTAAGCTTGTTTTTCTGCTTTGGTACTGGTGTTCATGCTTTGGGTTTTCAGGATGGGGAGTGCACACTTGTTGTGGTGTTTGGTGAGGGTAGGATAGTGAGGTAGGGAAGACTGAGCCTCAGCAGCAGGAGGACGGGGGTCAGTCTGTGCCCTCGAGTAGGGGACAGTGAGAGGACGGGTCTGGCAGGGTTGAAAACAGTGGGAGGAGGGGACTTGCTTATGATGGGTCCCACACTCATGTGCTTTGCTGATGGAACATGGGAGAGTTTGGGTCTCCCCTCCCCTGCTCTTTGCCACAGTGTCAACCTATGCTGGTGCCACCCTGGTCTCCATCATCAGGAATAAGACCCAGAGACTGGATCAAGCCTGGCCTCCCTGGGAGCTGCGGCATCCAGTTGGTCCCAGGTTTTGGAGAGATGATAATGTTCCCTGTGGTGTTTCATGAGTTTCCTCCATCATGCCTTGGTGGAGAGAGAGGAGGGGAGCACTGGGGGAAAAACAAGAGGCAAATTTTGGGGCTGCTTTGGTCCCAAGCTGGTCATCCTAGGGAGCTGTGTGCCAGGTGTGTGCTGGGAACTGCTGAGCACCAAGGGGCTCACAGAAGCTCAGCCATTAGTAGCAGAGTATGGCCAGGAAAAGGGATGGTGAAACATGGAGGGGCTGGGCTGTAGTCCTTGAAGAGGTGCTGGAGTTAAGTGGGTGTGTAGGTGGTCATCAGCTGGGGATGAGCCACTTTGTAGGGGCAGCTCATCCCCTCCTTGCTCGAGGGGAGGGATCATTCTGGTTGCATTCATCCCACGTGCTGTGAGTAATGAACCTTTTAAAGAAGAGTCTGAGTTCCTGAGGTGTTGAACATCCAGTGCTCGCACGTGCTTCAGACAAAGCCACGTTCGTGCAGTGCCTTTGCAGATCAAGCCCTGACAGCCTGAGGAGCAGTTGGGGGCTGTGCCCAACTGGAGTCACCAGCTCTGTCTTGCACTGTGGCTCTCTGCTGGGAAAGCTGGTGGAGATGCTGCTCACAAGAACTGGGCATATGTCTGTGCAGGACAGACCTGCTCTGCTCCTCGTCCTCCCTGTTTTGTATGCAGCAGGATCAATGTTGATCCAGTTTGCTCAGTCCCTCCATATCCCATCACCATGTGCTCTGTTTCTCAAGCCAAGTCAACACTATCTGGAGTTCCTTTGACAAAACGAGCCTCTCTGCTGGTCAGTCATGGTTTTATTTATATGTTCTTTTCTTTGATTAGAAAGGAAAATATCAAAAAATGAAAAAGGACTCGAGTTTCCAATAGCTGTATCTCTAGTAGTTATGAATTTTGAAGCAATACTCGTATCCCTGTGTGTGCCTCTGAACTATCCATTTATTTGTTCAGCTTTTTCAGGTCTGAGTGTGTGAAATATCTCTAAAGAAAATAGCTCTGTACGTGATGGTGTAAATGCATTGTTTGTATGTATCTAAAGTTTAAATAGATTGTACATATGGGATTGTAAATGAACTGTAAACAGCAATCTATATTTTCTTGAATATATTATATAGCAGTATATATTTGTTAAATAAGTATTCTTGTATACTCTTCAATAACCTTTTTAATATTTTGTACAGATAAGTTTATTAAATATTTTATTGATAAATAGACCTCTGCAGGATTTTTTTTTTTGAAGACTTGTGCCTGTGTCCTGAAACCAGATACCAGAACAGCCTTTGTAAGTCATCTTTACTCCCTGGTCTACCTAAGGTGTTAAAACCAAAAATGAAATACCCATTCATTTTAAACTGTCTTCCTGGGCAGCCACAGTTATTTTCCAATAAGTAAACTCACAGCACAGTGAGTGTTTGTGATGGATTTATCATCAAAATGTGCATCCCTTTCTTCCTTGTGTTCATGAATTCGGTTCACCTGCCTTGACTGCCGTGGGTCTGGTAGTTTCATTCCTGCTGGTATCACTGGTACACGATACATCACTTGATGTACCTGAGAGATTAGGCTGCTAATTACCATGGCAGAAAATACTTTATCAAAGTTTGCTTTTCATTGAATATTGGTTTTTATTAGTCCATTTTTCCTGCTTTCAAAGTATTTTTAATAGCTTTGTAAAACACCCTGTGACATGAAATCCTTTTGCATTTATAGTAGTTGAACTTCAGAAGTTCCCTGCTTTTATCCGGAAAGCAGGGAATCTGCAAGATGAGTTTAATCCAACACATTAGATAAGTGTTGAGAAGTGGGCTGTCACATAGTGGCACGGCCTTTTTCTCACCTGCTTTCACTGGGACATTACAGTGGCACACCCAGAAGTTTGAGGGAGAGTTGCTTTAGCACATGCTCCTGCAGTGGACATCACTGAAATGCCTTGGAGACAATGAGTGAAGGTAATAGGGTTGTGACTGCCTCTGCTACATCCCTATGCACACGATACTGAGAAGATGCAGGTGTGGAGCAAGGCACATTTGGAAGAATGGAAGAAGTCTTCAAGGCATCAGGTTATGTGTTTTAGACATAGCAGAGCCAACTTCAGCTTTCAAGACCCAGGAGAAACATGTGGAGAACTGAAAAGAAACATTTGCCTGAAGAACTTTAATTCTTACAAGACTGGTATTTTCTAGGCTGTCCCTTCCTCTTAAGCACACCCACAAACATATGGCTCAGTTGGGGTGAAGCATGGTCATTTCTATTCCCAGTGGCATGTGGAATGACAGACCATGCATGAGTCAATTTTCAGGCAGTTTTCTGTATCCTCACATGCCCATTTATGGTCCCACTGGCTGAGGGGTTCTTTCAGTACAAGTTCTCCAGTAGGCACGCAGAGGGAAGCAGGATGGCATTTGCCTCCATGTCCCCCTGTCCACTCTATGAGCAGTTTTACAGGAATGTGTTATCTTAACAAGTTATTTTCAACAGAACATTGAGGGATGAGAGCAAATGGTTATTCACAGACCTCCCACCATGTCTTCACTGAAACCAGTGGGAGTGGTGGGTTTGCGTTCAGTGGAGACAGGTTTTTAGTCCACAGCACTTCAGACTACTCATGTGATTGACAACATAAACTAGTCAGTTTATATCTGAAGAGAAATCAAAGGCACAACAAAGACAGGGGAGATGTTCAAGGTCACAAAAGTGTACAATGGAAGAAAATGCAGACCATTGTTAAAACAGGACATGGCCTGACTTGGACACCTGGTGACTTTAACCCTAAAGCAAATGCCTAAGTCCCTCAGGTAATAAAAAAATTAGTTGGTGCCTTCCAGGACCTCAAGAGAGAGATCTGGTACCCCCTACATTTGGATATCTAAGTTAGACCAGACAGGGAATTTAGACATCCATTTTGGGAGCACTGCTTTATGAACTGCCAGGTTAGGTGAGCCAGCTCAATTTTGCTTGGAACACTAGTTTTCCTCTTAGCAACTAATCTAAAGCCCAGTGAAATTGGTTTTAATGTCTGTAATAACCTCAGTAGGCTTTGGACCATCCCACACTATTCTCCATAACACAGCCCAATCCAGAGGTGCCTGGGGAGATCACTGGGACATGTGCTGGTGTGAGGCTCAAGTGCAGCCCCAAAGTATTCTAATAGGAGAATTTCATCTTGTTTTCAATAACCGATACTAGGCAGGCATGTTTTCATTGCTATGAAAACAAATCCATAGGAATCCATCTGTGTTGGACTGTCCTATTTTGGTGCAAACTAGTAAGGATACGAGGATAAAAGGAAACTCATGTCTTGCACATAGTATTTTTGTAGTGAAGCAATTTGTTCATGTCATGGCCCCTCTGTTGCCTGAATCTCAGTCAATCAATCACTTGGGTCTCCCTAAGCCTGTGCAATCCTGTTGACTTTATTGAGGCAGTACTGGGGCTGGATCACTCTGGATGATTAATGTCCTGTGGGTTTATTTTGTGGGTGAGAATACATGTTATTTCCTAATAAACACAGATGAGGTGCAGTACCCCCTGCATGATGAGAGCAGATGATGTTAGCAATTCAAAGCATTTATATTCTGTAAATGGTATTCCTGTATCCTGTGAGTTAGATTGGAATAGCTGGATCCTTATCAAATTGTAAGGGTGCCTGTTAGGGAAAAGGAGTAGCTGAGTCCTGACACTGGGAAAGCCTAATTTTTTCCAATTCCAAGCCACCTCACCTTCATGGATTAGCCCCAATGCATGAAGCACAGTGTATTTCAGAGCTTGGGGGCTTTGAGGTGAGTTTGTTGAAGATCTTCACGAACTGAGAGGTCTGGGGGCACCCTCCACTGCCTCTTTCAATGTGAATTGCATTAAATAGGATGGCAAAAGGTCTCCTTCAAGTGTCTGACTGGCAAACCCTGTAGTCAGGTGCAGTCAGTCAGATGTTTTAAACAAAATCCTGTGTTTTATCAGCTGCTGCAAACTACTTTCCACAACACAGCTATTTTCCTGCAAGCACGTTCCTGCAACAGGCAAAACCTAGGCCACTGACTGCCAGCTTAAACACTCTGAAACAGTTTTTAATCAAACCTCTCCCTGCTGTCCCATCTGAGCACACATGAGCCTGTTCCATAACTTCTGCATGATGCTACTGAGAGCTGTGCTTGCTCCTGGCAGCTGCCTTGTGCTGTTACTGCTGTATCTGCTGCTTGTGCTCAACCCCCATCAGCTGTTCCAGAAATATATGCTGTTTTAATAGTTCCTGGTCACTCACAAACGCTCTCTGGATTCTTATTTTGTAAATGTGCCAGGAAAGAGAACATTTGCCTGTAAGTGAAGAGCCTTAGAAACTTATTGTAGTTGGGAGTCTGAGCATGACCTGTGACACAGAGTAAAACAAGTCTCTTGGGTCTAGTAAGTTTATCCAAACCCAGTAATAGTTTGAGTGACTTTATTAATGATAACACTGAACATCTTGTTTAAAGTCTTTGCTGGCAATTAGCTAGACCAAAGAAAGGGATGGGGAGTGGATGCACATATAAACCCATTTTCTGTAAAATAAATACATAAATGACCTCAACTGCAGAGAAGAGATTATCTGCTGTGGCTCATGTATGCAATCTGTCTCCATGAGTCAAGAATCTGGTGTTTAGCTTGGAGTCCAACTCCAAATTCTTCACCATAAACACTGGGCAAGCACTCATCCAGCTTCCTGAAGGGACAAACCTCACTGATCCATGCACTCTATAGCTCATTCAAAGCAGCAAACACAGAGCTGGAGGAAGCAAGGGGAAACACTGGTTGATTATTTTGGAGGGGCTCTGGATAAAAATGCTTAAGCGAGTCAGGTGCCTAACACCCACGGATTTTCTGTGCACTTGGCAGATGTCAGCATCGCATGTGAAATTTGGGGTTTGGAAAGTATTTTTGTAAATTTTGTATGCATGAAGCAATAGAGAAGGTGAACTAGGACTAAACAAGTTATCAAAACAAAGAATCAAGTTACATTTTACCATAAATGTCTTTATTTTTGTTATTGGAATTGTGTACTTTTAATAAAAGGTATTGATCTAGCAAAACACTTGCACATGAGTCAAAGTCATTGAACTAGCAAGGGTTACTTGTGTGGTGAGAATTAAGCACAGATGTGAAAGACAGAGATTAGGTGCTACAGCATACAGTCAATATATTTGTGATAGGTTTCTCAAGAACTCTTAAGTAGTCTAAAATAGGCAAGACCACACTGTGTTTTCATGGTAAGTTGGCACATTTGGACCATAAGCACTTTTGACACTCTTTGCCCGGGGTGACGGTGAACACCACAGGCTTCAGAGGAGATAGATTCTCATTGTGTGGGATCTGCTTCTCTTAGGAAATACAGCTGTGGAAACTAGACTCATGCATTTTTGCAATGAATAGAGCAGCAAATTTTCAGATCTTAGCCTTACAGTAACAGCTCCTAAGAGGAAGGTAGCAATTGAATCAATATGGTTTTGATAATATTAGAGAAAATTCATTTAAGAAAATTGTAAGGCATTCTCCTGCAGTATATCTGGTCATCATTGACCAGACCTAGTCCCAGTTTAGGTCTTAATGCAGTCAGTAGGATTTATTATAATGGATTAACAATTGTATAAAAGGCATACACAAGTCAAGTACAAGTATTGCTAAATTAATTCCTCATACAAAGTATACGAATAATGCACTGTAAACAACTGCTTCTTGTAGGTGCTTCAGTTCCCAGGCTTTAATAGTTGCTTATCATCTTTGGTTAATACAAGATTTTGTCTGGTCTCAGGAGATCCACTACAACAGCTGAACTTCCACAAACTGAGTCCTTGCTCGATTCCTTGATTCCATACACTTTGAAGAACACATTTTGTTCAACCAGATCAATGTGTAAACCAAAACAACCAAGTGAACTGTAGTTTTTTATGTTGCTGACATACAAACGTGCACATGTATATATATGTGTGTGTGTACATTTATATATCTCCATGTATGTGAACGTGTCCCCTGGCTCTGTCCCAGGGAGCAACTTGGCCAACAGATGCATGGAGCATCTGCCCCAAGGCCATCCAACAGGAATGATGCCAACATCTGGGGGCTATTCAAACACACACAGACACAGACAACTATGGATTTCTAATGTGAGAACAAGGATTGTTTTGATCATGACTGAAAATGGACCTGTAGAAAGAAGGAAAGTCCATGACTCTCCAATAAACAGAACCAGTTGCATGGGCACAGTCCCTTCACTTTGAATCTGTCCAGTTCTTCCTCACGCTGCTGCAACTGTGGTCTCAACATTTCTGCCTCACTTATCTGTACCATTTCATCACGTGTCAGTGTAATCAGAAAATCCAGTGGCTAGTCCCAAAAGCTGAAACAGTTTCTGATACAAAGAAGGTCACTTAAATCCACTGTCAGTCTGCAGGTTTGAAAACTTGTCCAAAATATCCAGAAACTGAGCTCTATTACAAGTTGCTCTAAATATCAGTGAAAGGTTCGGAGGGGGGTTTAGAGAGCAGTATAAGGTGTGTGTATAATTGTGTAAGAAAAGTAAGTGACTAATCAATCTTTGTGCATCACAGAGAACATTCTCCAGAATCATTCTCACCGGTACCACATCAAAACTGTTAATAAATCATGTAAGGTAGATACCCAGTGCATCATTTAAATTCATCTGTTTGCAAGGGCAGGATCTCCCCTGACTATACTCTGTAGTGTTTTGCTTATTTATAAATGTCTCTGTGAACTCTGCAGGGAGACTATTTCACAGGTTCATGGCTAGAAAGCTTTTCCTGATTACACTTGGCTCTGATCCCCTTACTTGCATTGTTTTCATTTCTAGCTGTTGCCTGTAACTTCTTCTGTTATCACAACTGGTAGGATGTTTTTTTCTAATTTTTTTCCATTTGTAAAGGAGAGGGATGAACAAATGTAAGGAACAGTGAACTCGTCAGCAATGTGCAAGGGTCTGGCTCTCAACATTAACATTTCATGTCATGTCATGGGTGCAGCCGTGGCACAGTAACAGATATTTTCTGATGGTGAATTTATCTAATTTGTGGCTTGGCAGAAAATTTCATACTTCAGTCCTTAGAGCAAAAAACTGAAATTTAGACATGCATCAAAACTGGTTTAATTCTTTAAAGTTGCTGAGCAAGCACTGTTCTCATGGACTTCATTAGGAGAGCTAGGCCACCTAGAAGTTATACATGGATTCTGCAATCCATTTTAACCTTTTAATATTGGCACTTTTGATCAGTGTCCTTTCCAGTCTCTACAGTCAACTGAAAAATGAAACATTTGGCCACATTCCAGACAAGAGCTCCTTATGTATTCCCTAGTTGAGCAGCCACAGTTACCTTACGGCATTTTTTATACCCTGTGGAGTCCTGGAGGCACCCTAAACCCCTTATGAAAATTGGAGAAACTGCACATCTCCTCTACACATCTCCTTTGTACTCATCCTGAACTCAGCATGACCTTGGACTGACCACCAACACCATCTGACCCAGAGGAGACAATGTCAGGGTTGCCCAGGGGCCTTGGGCTGTTCTGCCTGTCGTGCACTTGGTTTACATGGATGGATGAGACACATAGAGAGGGCCAGGTCTTTCACAGCATACCAGGATCCATTGTCAGAATCCTCTACATCCCTGACAGTTCTCCAGCAGGTGAATGAGGTGGTAGTAACTCAGGTACAATTGTATCAGTGTTGTCTAGAGCCCTAGCAGACAAGAAATATTCCACCTTTTGCCAAGTCCTGCAGAGTCCTGAAGACACAGGACAAAACTACACCCGCACCAAATCAATAAAACTATACTTTGGACCAGCCAGTTTCTCTTTAACTTCCTCTAAAATATATCAATAGAAAACAAGCCATAATCTATAATAAACTGAAAAAAAATAGGACAGACTCTCTCACAAAAAAAATTACACGTTCACAAAATAATTACATCGTTTTCTTGTTAATCACTGAATCCATGCTTATAATTTGGTCAGATCATCCTGTAGCCAGTCTGTGATCATGGCAGCCATCTCCTTGCTGGCATCCAGCACAAAGGCGTGGCGGAGCCCCTTCTCACAAAGCCGAATGTCCCCATCTGGAAAATCCATTTTGATCTCATCGTAGTAGTGCTGTGGACACCAGCTGTCTCCAGTTCCATAGTAAAAAATCAGCTAGAAATCAAAGCATAGCAAATAATTAATTTGCAAAGTTACTGGTGGAGCAACCAACAGAATTACTTGGAAATAAGTGATGCTTCAAGTCCCAAGATATACCATGAGGGATAGCAAATTGGTAGTTCTTGGTTGCTTCCAAGTCTGCAGTTATAACGAAGACAAATAAATGCTCTGTGACTCAGTTTCCTCATCTGTGAAATTGGGGAACATGGAACAGACTTAATTCTGAAAACAGAGATCTGCTCAGGGAAGCCTGGCTGTCTTAAGAAATTTCTTATTATGGATCAAAACGTGTAGTTGTCCATGGAGTCCACCCCTAACCAGCCCAGCTGCTGTTTTTCCCAAGCTGTTAGCCCCTTTCTGTGTTAGCTTTCTAACTATTAAACCAAAAGCAATGACCAGGGACATCTTCACCTCTATCAGGTTGCTCAAAGCCCCATGCAACCTGACCCTGACTGTTTCCAGGGATGGGGCATCCTCAACTTCTCTGGGCAACCTGTGCCAGTGTCTCACCACCTTCACGGTAAAAAACTTCTTCCCTGTGTCTAGTCTGAATTGATCCTCTTTCAGTTTAAAATCATCGCCCCCTGTCCTATCACAACAGGCCCTGCTAAAGTTTGTCCCCCTTTTTCTTATAACCCCCCTTTAGGTACTGGAAGGTGCTCTAAGGTTTCTTTTCCAGGCTGAAAACCCCAACTTTCTGTCCTGTCTTTGTGAAATGCTGCCTGTGTGGAGTGAAGGCACCTCCCAGAGATCGATGGGCAACTTTAGTTTGGGTTCTAATGTGGAACTAAAATTCTGCCAAAGTCCATTTTGTTTTCATCTTGCCCAAATAACCTTGGACAATGACATACATGAAGCAGGGGCTACAGGGTCCACCTAAATGCAAAAGTCATAAATTCCAGGCAAATATCATATTCAGTGAAGTGTCTTTTCTCTCTGTTAGAAACACTAAATGACACATTTTCCCAAGTCACCACTTCCCCCCATTTTCATCTCAACTTTGCATGCTATAGCTATGTTTTTCAATTTCTATAAAGTATATGAAGGGAAAGCGGTTGTCTGGGAAAGAATAAAAAACTATGGATTTGAGACTATACAAGAACAAGATTAATGACAAGCAGTCCTCATATTAAAATGTTTGAATGCAGGTACCAGAAGGATGCTGATTGCTCAACACATCACACACATAGCTTGGCCCAATTCCATTACTCTCATTTGTTTCATATTTCATTTCTGTACTTCTGTGAAAAATTGAGCATTACTAACATAAATTAGGGGACAAGAAGTTTTCCTTTCATCACAAAAATCTTCAATTCCATAATTTTTGTATGTGGAATACAAATAAATGGATCCACTGGGGTAGAGGCAGGCTAAGAGCCCAGACTGCATTTCACAAAATATTACAGGTTTTTGTCTAACTTACTTTTCTCTTGTTGAAGTTTACCCAAATCTTGCACATTACTGACTATGGGCTGTATCCAAAACATCTCAGTTGCACAGACACCAACCCAAGTTAAACTTCTACGTATCCCGTGTTAGCAAACATTATTGGTTTCCTTTGTCACTCACTAATTGCTGGAATCAAGGTCTGTCATTTGCTTTAGCAGAAAATTTCTTTTGATCTTGCCTTTGATTCATCCATCACAGGATGTCACACTAGCAAAAGCTCTTCAAAAAAGCCAATGTAAAATGGCCAGCTGCTTTCAGGCCTTTTGGAAGCCAACCATCTGACTGAATTACATTTAACCCTGGGCTCTGTTACCAACAGATACAAAAATAAAGATTATGAAACTGAGGGAAAAAAGCAATGGAGCAACTCCAGTTTGAGTAGTCCTTGAATTCATTAGGTTTTTTGAAAGGCCAGTTGCAGAGTCTCATTACATAATGATCATTAAGAAAAAGATGAAAAGCTATTTACAGTTACAAAGGTGGATAAAATACTTGGCTTAGTCTGCATGGACTGTGAAACGGGCTGTTCTCCAGGTAAGGTTGTAAACTTGAGAACTCACAGATTTGGAAATGCCTAAATAGACGATTTATGTGCATTCTTAGCTTGCCTCTGGTATATTTGCATTACAGTTTAATCTTTCACTGCATGATCCAAAGGATCCTTGACTCGTTCAATCCACTGACAGGATGATGTTCAGCTGATGAGCTGCTATTTGATAGTATTTTTCGTTTTAAATTCTGTGTGTGGTCTGAGGATTTATTCACTACATATTTCATGGTTTACAGACAGAATTTATTTTCTTTATGCTCTGCATTCCTCTGGCACACATCACTACAGGATCTGCATGCTCATATTTATTAATTTAGTTTTGCAACACCTTAGTGGCCATTTTTATCTCCATTTTGCAGGTGAGGAGCACAGAAATTAATGTCAAACTGCATATATTAATTTGAAAGCATGTAGTGTAGTCTGAAACACCTCAAGCTGGTTTTCCAGTGTATGCAGCATTACACAGTATTGACTATATTCAAAGGACAGCACTCCCGGACTGCACTTGCAGGTGCTCTGAAACACTGTCTATCTGTCTGTAATACACATTTCAAGGTCTTAAAAGAGATACTCAGAAAAGTGAGAACAAACTGTGGCCATCCATGAAAAATATTAATGACTTCACCAAGATTCCATTCTTGGATGTGAAATTTACATGCCTTTACCATGAAGTTATTCCCTTTCATTTCATATAATTCCCTCTTTTTTTCAACAGGCATTTTACCCCTTCTACCACAGATAAGGTAGGAGTTCTTCAGTCTGTCTTCTTCATTACACAGTTCCTTTGGTTAATGAAAGAGGAAAAAGGAAAATGAAAGCAGCTCTGAAAGGATACAGAGAAGGCATCTGAAATGAGACTGGTGCTCCCTAACTGTGAAATGCTTGGTAATGCAATGTCAACTGGTTTTAGCAAAGCTTGTGTACACAGACTACTAGGCTTCGAGGAGGTAAACCAAAACCCAGGCATTTTACATGTGGCACCTACATGTCTTGTCAACAGTGTCAGCACCTCTAGATTTGCTGCTTTAGGCCTCTGTCCCTTAAGGTCATGGTGTAATTAAAAGAAATAGCACTGTCACTTTCTGGCCAGAGGAACATGGGATACTTTCCTGCTGGGTGTCACACTGGAGGTGCCCAGCACAGAAATCAGTGATCTAGTTTGAATATGTAATGTGTTTTTGAAGCAAATGCCAAGATTGTCCAGATTTACAGTACTGTGGTTCACATCGTGGAGAGTCTCAGAGTGTATGAACTCCTTTCAACTGAAATTAAAGCAAAAATGCTCTGCAGGATCAAAATTAATGAGCTCAAGTCACCAATGGACATTCAGTCCATGGGACCAGACAACTGTTGGTTAAAGTAATAACCCTCTGAGACGCCTACATTGGGAACACCAGGTCATCACCAGTTACTATTTATCTCTACAATTCTCTTTTATTTTGCTATTCCTATTCTTAAGGCAAACATTGCCAATGGCACTTGCTGAGAACAGAAGCAATAAGATTTTAGAAATTTAGGTTCCATTCCCACCAGAAAAGGGCAGAATATTTACCAACTACTGGCCTTGCTGTCCAGTCATTTGTACACTTTCTCCAAATATGACTTCTTCTGTCTTGTCCTTTTCTGGTCTCAAGACTGCTCTAAACACCCTTTGGCTCATTATTTCAGCTCTATTCTCCTTACCTCATCATTTCTGGTTTCTACTCTGCTTTTTATTCTAGTCCCACACACTTGCCATGCAAAGTCCAAATTTTAGTCTTCTGGTTTTTCCCCATTCTGAGTCTGAATTCCAATCCTAGCTGCTTTTCTAGAACCTCTATTCCCAGTGCTGCTCCTCAAACACCTCTCAGACTATCAGTTATTCCTAGTGTCGGGTTCAGTTCAGCATAAAAACATCTAAATACAGTACCTGTATTGTGGTGTTTACATGTGTACCAGGCATCCAAATTTCCATCACAGAGTCAGGAAAGATGGGCTCAATAAAGGCATCAGTGCTTAGAAAGCTATTCAGCTGACACAGCAAGTGTTTACTGTAAGGTGAGTGAACCTGCACCTCAGGTTCCACTAAGAACTCAATTGCCAAAGTGTGGGTACCTACTGCCATGTGAGATGCCCTAGATATCTGAGGCACCTGCATGAGACTGGCAGGTATGACAGGTTAATTTATAAGAGACTCACAACTTTCTGGCAAAACAGCTGGAGGCCAGGTGAGTATTTTTCACAGTGCCCAAAACTGAACTAGAGGTCTACATTTAAGGACAAAATTCCACCTTGATTTCTTCGATGGATTTCTGTTGACTCTGGTGGGGTCACCTGCACCTCTAATGCCTGCTGCACCTTCAGATTCCTACAAGTGTACTCATAAAGCACCGTTCAGGTGCCCATACATAAATATCTAGCCATGTTAGTTAATGCTTGGACTCCTCCAAGCCAGGAATTGTTAACATGAGAAAACAATGCATTTTCCCCTGAGCCTTATTTGTAGATATTGTAGAATCCTTTCCACTGAAATAAAAACAGTCAAGGTAGGACAGACACTTGAGTCATATATGCAACTAAAGTCTGGGTATGTTATAACCAACTAAGTAAGAACAGCTTTAAAACAGGAGACTTGATTTGATATTACAGTTATTTTGTCTGTTCATTTCATGTGCAGATGTTGGTGTGTGCATTGTCTGTGTGCCTATGCCTGCACATCCAAAACTTTAATGTGTTTCTTAACTGCCAATAGAATTCAGAATTGTTTTCAAAATGCTTCCTTATTAATGGTTTCTGCAAAAGAGCAGGACTGCAATCAAAGTTCAAATATTCAGTGATCCAGATGTTGGCCTATGAAACCTGACAGCTACTTGACTGCTATTTGTGGAGTTGAGGGTCTCCCTTTGAATGACAAAATGTGTCTGCTCTTTGCCTGTGTCAGACACAGACATGAAATATACAGACTTTAGAATGTCACCTACTTTCCTAATATATTAAGACAGAATAATTTCAGACA